GACTACGCAACATAAAAATCAGCTCTTGTTCTGTTCCGAAACGATTTCTTGATAATGGTTTCTCACTACGCAACCGAATCTTGAAAGTTGTTTTTACATATTTGTTTTATGAGTGATCTCCTTTCACTCTCAGAAACATAATCAACTCACCTTAGAAATAAAAAATATGGGAAAGGGACACAAAGGGAACGGCTTTGAGTTTATTCTTCTCTTGCTATGCTTCAATTCGGCTCTCGTGCAGTCTCCTTATGGAACCGTTGCCTATGATGATGAAGCCACACCACGGCGAAGGTATACGATAAAGTTCGTATCTGACAACAAAGCCAAGCCTAATGTACTGTCTGAGCTAGAACCTGACTTTAATGTAATAAATCCTAGAACATGGGCTCAAAGTCAAACCTCCTTATGCACATGACGTAGACCTTGAACATTGTGATTAACCTTAGTGGCCTGAAATTTGGAAGTGGTACTGAGGTTGGTCCACATCAATCTAATAAATGTAGTTTTGTAAATGATAAATGGTTTAATAAGCGTCTTACTTTGAGTTAATTAAGAAAAGGCTACAAAGCAACAAAAACAAAATTTTGCAAGTGTAATAACATTTCATTACTCAGCAGAATCCGACTCGTTTTCCTCTTCATTTTCTGACACCGAACCATCCTCACTATCCATTCCATCTTCCGACACTGCGTCCTGATCATCTTCTTCTGCATCGGTTCCGGTTTCATCGTCTGTTTCAATCGACTGCTTTGCTTTATCATCATCCTCAAGGTCTTTCTCCTCTTCGAAATCTTTTTGGACAGGAACAGGGTTCTGTTGTTGGGTCGACATGATGCCGGCGATGGCTTTCAATGCAGCATCAGCTTGACTGTTATTACCAATGGCTTCCGGATCTATACCTGGCACTGTGGTTTCTGCTTCAGCTTCTGCAGGCTTGTCGTCTAGCTTAGGAGGTGGGACAAAGAAAGGTATGCGCCCTCTTTGCCAGTCATGGAGTATCATCTTTGCTCCTGTCATCAAATCAGGCTCCCCGCCCTAAAACAGAGAAACCGTTGAGCTTTCTCTTCTCTTATCTTATAGGACAAAAACTCAAAGCCAATAAAGTCGAAAAGAGTATTGAAATTGGGACAAGACACACCTTTAACAGTTTGCCAGACGCTTTGCATAGCTGAAGAAGAAAGTCATGATCATCCTCCCTGTAAATAACAAAACCGGAAACTTATATCTTTGTGCCAAAAGTAGGCAAGAAGGACTATGAGAAGTGAAAATTCCGCTTACCAGTCCTTTATTTTATACGCCCTCTGCAAGTGCTCCTTCTTGACACGCCTCAGGACTTCTCCAATGTGCTCAGATGCATCTTCCAGGTTTGTAACTCTTACCTATATATATACACAAATATGAATCCGTAAGATAATACACTACTTGCAGAGAACAAAACAGAGTAGGATCAAAACAAGCTATCAATCATGGGTTTAAATAAAACGAACTTTCATGTGAGGCAACATGAGCATAGATGTTTTGAGCAAATGTGAACACCAAATTTACAAGCATAAGTATAAAAAAGAAATTCGTAAAAGAAAAGACTAATAATGCAAGAAACATACCACTCCCTTGAGGACAATATCTGTCTCGGTATCACGGCTCTGGTATACAACTCCAGGACAATCGATCAAGAAAATCCTTTTAGTGAGTGTGATATATTGCCAAACCTTGGTCTCCCCAGGAATTGGAGCAACCTTGCAAACCTATAGGAGAGGCAGAAGAGGAGCAACCTTGAAGCTAAGTTAATTCGTAAGTACTTGATAAGAAAAAGAAAAAAAGGACAAAGAAGTTTTTACATTTTTAGTACGCAATGTGTTGATAACCGATGATTTTCCAACATTAGGATACCCAACAAATCCCACAGATACAGCTTGTTTGTCACTTTTCAGACGAGCAAACTGCCTCAACACTGAGAGAAGCGATCCCTGGGAAAATCAACCATCATTCAGCAACCAGATATCAAGAGAATAACATAGACTGCTAATAAGACTTCAAAAAATAAAAAACAGATATAAAGAGATCAGAGGCACCCAAGGGCATGTATAATCGGGAAAAATACCTTTCCGAATGACTTGGTAACACTTGCGTGAAATGCTAGTGTTGGATATTCCTTTGATAATACTCTCAACCATCCTTTTGTAGCCCAAGCCGGTACAAGATCACACTTAAAAATCACACACACAAAAGACGCATAGCTACCCAGTAAGCAACTTCACAACAGGAACAGCCAACTAAATTTCCAAAAATGAAAACAACTAACCAACCTTGTTCAACAACAAAATCATGTGTTTATGTTTATGATGCTCTTTCAAAGTCTTCTCTAAATGATGACACCTAGTACCTTGTGGATCCCTAGCATCTAAAACCTGCCACACAAAAATCCATTAAGCCAACAAAAACTAAAATAGAATTAAAAGATATCACTTTCATTAACTCGGTTTCTGAATCAAAACATACCTGGACAACTACATCAGAGGAGTCTATGACTTTGTAAAGCTCACCCCAAATACGCTTGCTCTGTCCCTTCTCAAACATATTATGCCTCACAAGGTCTCTAAACCCATCTTCTTCTTCTCCTTCACCAGAAGGACCTACACCATTCTTCTCCTCGTACGCATCTTCAAAATCAAACAAAAATGTTTCAAGGAATACATACTCAGAAAAGCCAAATTCCTCCACACAAAAGGATTATAACTCAGCTTACCCTGAGATTCAGCTGCCTTCTTCACCAAGGCTTCGTAATCAGAAGCGACAAGCTTCGGTCGCTTCCTTTTCGTCTTCCTTCCAAAGGCATCTTGAAATGACTCCATATCAAGTAAATGAACTCTCGATTGCTATACAAGAATCACCATAATAAAACCAATCAAAATCCAAACCTTTGAGATAATCTAATTCCAAACTAAAGCAAAAGCCTATACCTTCTTAGTATCGGTCAATAGAGACATAGGCAACTTCCTCTCTTTCAAAATCACATTGTAATTACTCGATTTCGTCGATTGCATCTCTTCTCTAAAGTATTCAAGCTGCTTCTGATCCACAACACGAGTGTTCCCT